ATAAATAATTTAGGTTGTTAAACAGTGATAGTGATACTTTTTCAATAAATATGTATTTTGTGATGAAATGTCATTATATAAAGAAATATAATTAAATATATGATATTTCATATTAAAGTGTATATTTTTGTTAAAAATTATACACATTTCGACTGAAATGTCATACATTAAAAAGGATATAATTAAGTATGACATTTCACAATAAAAGTGTATAATTTTGTTAAAAAAAGTACAACAATTAAGTATATGACATTTCACAATAAAAGTGTATATTTTTGTTAAAAAAAGTACAACGGGTCAAAGATGAACATCAAGTTCAGTTTTCTATTGTTGGACATTCAATCAACCAAATCTAATTTTTGGAATTATGTCTGATACTTGAAACCGGTGCATAAAACTTGCAATAGGAATGATGTTAATTTATTTTATTTTTTGTTAGAACATCCTTAAAAAAAGATGTATGTATGATCTAATTTGCAAAGTTTTAAAAATAAAATATTTAATACAAGAGTTGAAAAGTAAAAATTACATTGAAAAAAACTTAAACAATGTGGCTTTTAATACAATTTTGCCTCAAGCATATGGTTTTATTCTTAGGATTACAAAGTTACTCAATTCATCAAAATATTGCATGTTTATTTATAGAAATTTTTTGTTTTGTTTGAATTTTTTTGGTTTGATTTGGTTAATTTTGAAAAATGTGGTATGATTAGTTGTTAGTGGATATATTAAAATAATATTTAAAATAAAATAATTAAAATTGCTTTGATGTAAATGATTTGAAGTGATGGTTAGTTAAAATAATATGAGTAGATGAATAGTGAATTAAGATTAACGTGGTGTGTATGAATGATTGATTGATATTATTTAGTTATAAATAATATGATGACAGTAGGGCTGAGTTAAAGTTATGAGCATGTTTGTTTATAAAGAAATTTTAAAAAAATTCTCAATATTTTAACTCAATCACTTTTTTTAACTCAACTTTAATAATATATTTCAGTTTTTATCACTGTATTAAATTAATGATATATGATGATGTCACATATGATTCATTAAAAAACATAAATTAGAAATAAAAAATTGAAATGGGAAATTTGCCCAATATTTTTGGAATCCCAAAACCCTAATTGCAGAGGAAGGGCCCCTTTCGTGAACATCTGGAATTTGTTACAACCGCCGCGAAACACGTGTCCCTGGCCTTTTCTTTGGCTTTCCATTTTTCAACTAATATTCATTTTCTTTCTCGTCATCACCAAAGCAAGTCGTCTTCTACGCCATTAAAGGAATAATCTCGAGCTTCAAAGTTCAAACACACAATTCCTTTTGATTCCTTCATTCTGTAGCCTCCTCTGACGTCTGAACCTACTTTCAGTTTCAGAATACGAATTTAGCACATGCAATCCCAAAATCTGCCTTGAATTCCTATCACGTTTCCTGAATTTTTCTCGATTGGTGAAGATTGTCTGTGCTTGCCTTCTCCGATGGTGGGCTGATCGATTGCTGGTCCCAGCAACATAATCTGGAGCTTTGGTATGAATTTTCTCTGTACTGCGCCGAAAATCAGAAGACTTATTGAGTTGGAGAAGGGAAATAAAGGAAGAGAATTTATTTTTGTAGAAGGCGGTGATGCCGTCGGGCATGGGAGCTACCGGCGGCGAGGGTGGTGCGGAGGAGACCTCGCCGGATATGCTGAAGAACACGCCCTCGAATATACGGAGGTTGGTCAACGAGATTGAGCAATGTGAGGGCCGGCAGAAGTATCTTGCCCACACACGGAGCCCCTCGGACGGAGGTGATGTTCGCTGGTACTTTTGCAAGGTTCCTCTGGGAGTAAATGGTTAGTGTCAATGGAAGTGCTCTTCGTTTTCGCCTTTGTGGTGTTGATGATGAAGTCATGCTATGGTTTCTGTCTTGTTTGTTATTTCAGTTTGTTTGGTATATGGTGATAATAGCTTATTTCGGATGGTGAAACGACTTAAACCAGTTAAATTAACATGACAGGGTGCAGAGCTACTTCATTTATGGTCTTTTTGTTTAGCTGGTCAGGATGGAGGAGATCCATAGGAGATATAGTTTCTCTATCTGCTTAGTTGAACATAAAGGACCTCATCCCAATTCTTCTTAATAAATTCTACTGAAGCTCCCTAGGATGAACCTTTAATTCAGTTATTTGCTTAAAAAATGAATTGAGACTGTAAATACGATGCGAAAGTTTAATGGCAATGGTGCTTATTCATCCATGATGGGGCCTATCTAATTGTTTTTATTGGAAGAACTCTGAATAATTCCTTGCTTGGATCAGCATCAAGAGAAAGATCAAAGGTAGTTTGGTTGAAGTTATAGTGAGTGGCTTAAGCATATAAGTTAATTTGGTCAATGTAGTTATTACTTGTTCATGGTAGAACTTCTCGAAGAATTAGTAGAGTTTACTGATAATTTATACAATTTTGGTGCTGCGTTTGGATGCACACCTCACCTGTACTGCTGACCTCTAGTATTTGATCCACATGTTATGAGTCTCGAAATTAATGTAGGATATGAAAGGTTCTTTTGTGGTTGTTCTGTTGAGTGGTTGTTCTGTTGAAAGTGGTATCTGTTGTGAACCGTGAAAATTCACCGGATACTCTCTTTATATTGTTCTGCGTGATACATGTACTTTGATGCGTTTCTGACAGAGGTAGCTGCATCAGTACCTCGAACTGAAATCGTGGGGAAAGGTGATTATTTTAGATTTGGTATGAGAGACTCTTTAGCAATAGAGGCTTCTTTCTTGCAGGTATTAAATTTCCTTTTAATTTTGTTCTTGCCTTCAGGTTTGTTGTATTGTATTTCTGTAGACAGAAAATTACTATTCGTACAAAGTAGTTTGCTAAGAAATGTATGCTATATTTACAGAGAGAGGATGAGCTACTATCTAGCTGGTGGAAAGAGTACGCAGAATGTAGTGAAGGCCCAAAGGGGCAGCTTATCATCAAATCCAATTCAAACCAACAGTTGTCTTCAGAGAATCCTCAGCTATTCACTGATGAAGAAGAGAGAGTCGGTGTCCCTGTAAAAGGAGGGCTGTATGAGGTAGTCCATTGGTTGTAATACTCTTATGACATGTATTTTATTTTATGATTATCTTTACTGTTTCTATTTTTTATTTTTGATCATTTATGTACTTGCTCTCTGTCTCTCTATTTTTTATATTATCACACATATCCGCTTTTGCTTGAACAAGAAAACTAACTTTCCGTTCCTATCTTGTTTTCTTGCCCAACTTAATGTTCTAGTTAGATGAGCAGTAATTTCCTAGGACCTACAAGTCTCAGTTACAAATACTGTATTGTATACCAGTCCTGATGTTCATTGAATAGTTTTTGTTATCTTCAGGTGGCAAGCATGAGGCAAAGTTTTTAATACAACTCTTTTTGTTTCCCGCCTTTTTAAGTTACACGCATATAATAATTATCTATATATAATATAATTTCGTTTAATCATCAATGCACTGTAATGTTCATCCCTATCTACAATCACCTTTTATTTTTTCTTTTGAAAATTTGGATTTTTTGACATGATTTCAGTTACAATAATTGTTGGACGCTTGACTTTTGCCCCAATATTTTTCAGTTACACATGATTTTTCAGCACGTTTCAGCACATAATTAATAAACAACAACAACAATAATAATAATAATAATAATAATAATAATAGTAATAATTTTCAGTCAATTAGTTGGTCACGATCTCTCAAAATTATAAAAAATTATATCATTTATTATAATTTATGTTATAAATATAGTGATTCATATGTAAGTTATGCAATTTATATTTATATTGTTCATTTTTTGCAGATTGTTAAAATTTTAAAATGTGATATACTCATTATTTAACTTATACTTTAAATATTATATACATAAATATAATGTATATATTTTATTTGCATTTGTGCATATGAACAGGATCAACTACTAGTATCTTTATAAATTGAACTCTCTCATTGTTTTGTTTCTGCAGTCTCGATTTTTTTAATACATCTCTTTGGAACGCCCCATACTTTGGTATAATTATTTACTTAGTCTCTGCATAGGAACAGGATCAACTACTAGTATCTTTATAAATTGAACTTTCTCATTGTTTAGTTTCTGCAGTCTCGAATTGTTTAATACATCTCTTCAGAACTCCCCATACTTGGGCATAATTATTTACTTAGTCTCTGCACCAACCTCTTGAAACTGTTATTACCATATAAATCCAGACATTTTAATATTTTCTCCTGCCTGTTCTTTACCCATCTTAGGTTCATTTCTTAGCACGTGGCAGAACATAGAATGTTGATAACTAATTATTTGCAGGTAGACTTGGTGAAGAGGCACTGTTTTCCTGTTTACTGGACTGGAGAGAACAGGCGGGTGTTACGAGGGCACTGGTTTGCTCGAAAAGGTGGCCTTGATTGGCTTCCTCTGCGTGAAGACGTTTCTGAGCAATTGGAATATGCATACCGAAGTCAGGTACTCTGGAACATGTGCTCCCTTTTTTCGCTAAGAAAGTTTTGTGAATAGTTAAGTTATCCTTCTCCCAATAATAATTACTTGATTTCTTCATTGGTTCTGCAAGTCTTAGCAATTTTTACTCCCAATTAGGTGCAAATGTAACGGGCTTCCGATTAAATAGTGTCTTGTTTATCATCATTGCGTTTTTTGCTGCCTCCTTAGGGCATCAGTTAGGGATAACCTAGGCTTTCCACAGTTTAACTGATAAATCTAAGACCCCTTGCTTTCAGATTTGGCATAGAAGGACCTTTCAAGCGTCAGGTCTCTTTGCCGCTCGTGTGGATTTACAAGGCTCGACAGCAGTATGGCCCTCTGCTTTGACTAAATATCACCTGTAATGGTTGTTAAGATGGACTGGTACTATAATGTGCTTCCTGGTTACAGGGACTGCATGCTCTTTTCACAGGGGAAGATGATACATGGGAAGCCTGGCTAAGCTATGATGCTTCTGGGATATCTAGTGTTTTAAGCATTGGGAGGAATGGCATTAAGTTGAGACGTGGATATGCTCCATCTCAATCAAAGAAGTTAACACAGGTGATCCTTTGTACTTCTGCCTGTAGAAATATTTTCTGAGCATAGAAACACTAACATCCTCATCTTCACGACTAACTTCTGACATGGGCTTATGATGTGTTATCCAATCTTTTTACTTTGATAAGTTATTTCGTAGTAATCATAATACTTTTTTAATTTGATAAATTATTACTATTTTCCAAAGATCACAATATACTGATGAATTATGCTATGTCTAACTCAATGATAATTGGCATAAATGACAATGACAAGGCAGTTTTTCTAAGCATCTAGACAATGTGAATAAGGTCTTTTCTTGTGTATTTAGGGATCCCTGTTTGGGTGGGTTCAATGGGAGTCTATTCCCTCAGGATATTGTCCATGTCTGTGACCCTAAAAATATTGTAATTTCTCAATGATGTTATTATTGCTATAACTATATTGTCATAACTCACATACTCAACAGTTCTATAAGTTTGTATAAAAACCATGTCGTTGTACTCGTAGCTAAATAAGTTGATGCTGTCTGAGACTCTGACCGTTATCTTTGTAATTTACAGGATGAATTGCGTCAACGGCAGGAGGAGGAAATGGATGATTACTGTTCACAGGTATCATCAGTCTTTAAAGCAAGTCAGACGTGCATATGTGAACATAGCCCTTGATATGTGAAGACAAGGGAATTATGTGATTTTACCATGTTTCTTCAAATCGTGTTTCTATGTACTTCCTAGAAGTTGTAGGAAACGTCCCAGAAAGGTGGCATGTAAATATCTTGTAGGTGTAGCACATTCTTGGAATTTTACCGGAGATCTCTTACTTGTATGGATCAGAGTGATCTCCTGCCATTCTTTTGATGGGTGGAGCTCTGTATAATTGAATAATAATAGTTTATTTATAAACTACATATTCTGAGTTTCTGACTTAGGGCCGAGTGAATGATGAAGTACAATTCTATGTCCTCTTGTGTTTAGCCTTCAAAGCGATCTCACTACCCTGAACTTGGATTGTAATTTTTATTTTCGGTTGCCTGGTCATTTCCTTAAGGTCATGTGAATTTTCCTATTCTGTGTTTGGTTCATTTATGTTCATTCTTTTCTTCTCAATTTGGCACACTGATGAGGTCCCTGTTCTTAGGAAAGCATCTGTTTTCTTGTGTAGGTTCCTGTTCGGCACTTAGTATTCATGGTTCATGGTATTGGTCAAAGGTTGGAAAAGTCCAATTTGGTGGATGATGTTGGGAATTTTCGCCAGTTAACAGCAAATCTCGCCGAACGACACCTCACTTCGTATCAACGAGGCACTCAGAGGGTTCTTTACATTCCATGCCAGGTGCTTGTGCATGACTATAGTTTGTATTCCCTGTTATTTTGTACTATCTGTTTTCTCTTCAAATTGTAAACTTGCTTCAGTTGTGATGGACTGGACTTGGGGAGGCCGAACTGTTAAAAGTATGACAAAAGGTTTAGCAAATTTGAGGTGTTTTTTTTGCTTTATATGATCTGACATTGTTATTGAATAATTGAAATATTAGGGCTTCTAGGTGCTAAGTGATTATAGAGGTAACACGTCTCATAACAAATCGTGACCACTTTTGTGAAATAGCAAAATATATATTACTGAATGCAGATTTGTAGGTTCATAAGTTTCCTCAATAAGAATATTATTACTTTCTGGGTGTATAAGGTTTATTTTGCATCGAAGAAGTGCATATCATAAATGTTCATAATGTTCTTGAATATCATTTGAAGGTTTTGTGCTAGTTGAATAAGATGGGAAGTTAGTATCAAAATATAGGCTTCCTCTGCGACGATGGGAATAGCCAACTCTTAGATAAGTAGATCAGTGTCGTGTTGGATGGGTAATATCTGTTTGGGTTTTAGCCTAAAAATGTGCTTCTTGTAGTCCCCATGAGCGTTTTGGTTATCCAGATAAGTTTACTTTGGACAGATTTTCTTATTTTAAGGATTAGCTGAGTTAGCTATGAATTCTTAAACGTAGATGGTTACTGCCATTCTGGATATCATGTAAGAATTTACTATTGTGTGTTTGTCATTTGTTTCAAGATTATGGAACTATATTATTTTTTTTTTTAGCATCTATCTTTTCGGTTGGTATTTTTTTGTTCTGTTGTAATCTTTTTTTCTTTGCCTTTTGCAGTGGAGAAAGGGCTTGAGACTTAGTGGTGAAGCTGCAGTTGAAAAAATCACTTTAGATGGTGTGAGAGGGTTGCGTACCATGTTGAGTGCAACAGTTCATGATGTCTTATATTACATGAGCCCCATCTATTGTCAGGATATCATTGATTCAGTATGTCCCATCTAATTCATTCCTCCATTACTGTTAATTTTATACGTAATTTCTTCTCTAATGATTTTTGGATGGCTTGTGTTTTTCTGATATTATGTTTAGCTCTCAAATGCATATTAATGTGTAGCTATAGTCATAATACAAGAAATTTGTCATTATTTCATTGTCAAGAAAAGGAATACATTGCTTCATCAATATATTGGAGCAAGGTCAAAGTATTTCATGTTTTACTTCCGTTTGAGCAAATTCAAAGTACTCGCTAGTACACTTCCAAAAAGCTCTGGATCATTTCCTACCTTATGTCTATTATATATACAATATATACAACATACCTAGTATATTCCCAACAGGTTGGGGTCTGGGGGGTCAGTTGTACGCAGACCTTACCCTTGTAATTATACAAGGAGGCTGTTTCCGTAGCAACCCAAGGTGCATTGCGCCGTTTGATATATTTTGTTTTTTCTAGAAACTTCACTAATAGAAGAAGCACTAGAATTTAATTGAGCCATTTTGATCTAGTCCATTATTAGCACTATGCTAGGAGAATTGTCAACAATGACTCTTCCAGCTCCATTTGCAATGGACAAAACACCTTATGTCTATTCTTGAAGATAAAATTTATTTTATTTCAGATGGGAGCTATTCAACATAGAGATTGTCATATCCATCTTCCTGGTCCTTTGACTCTAGGTGGTCATTCTTTATGTTAGGGTTCCATTCTCAAGGAACATCCCTGAGTTCTTGTAATAGTTTAACTGTGTCCATTTTTGGAATTGTCCTGTTATGATTTTCTTCAACCGAGGTTAATGTTTTTTTATTTTTAAAAAACATCCAAACGAGGTAATGACGACCACTTTTCAATTCTCAGTGCACGTGCTTCTGTAAGTTAATTGAATATGTTGTACATTTGAGGTGGTTAAGTACAAGTTATCGTCATCATAGATGAGACGAATGAAGCATAAAGGTGTAGTTGACCACTTCCTCACCCATAGCCCTGTTGGGTTCGATAGTACCGTACGGGCTGTACGCAGCGGAATTTAAAATTTTTAAAGTAAGTATTTATCGTATAAATACAACACCCGTACATACTAATTGCGAATTAACTGATCGTCATCTTTAAAACATGCATCATATACAAATTTTGATTTGTTACTATAAAATAAATACTAATAAAAATATTTACCGAATGTCTTGAACTCCTTCACTATTGATGATGGATGAGGGAATCGATTCCCGGTTGTAACTTCAACGACTTGAGGTTACTCGCTAGAGGAATCCAAGTGTCTTCCCTCTAAACGTATCCACCCTATGAA